AAGGAAATCAGTGGCTACTAGTCTTGATGGCCAAATGCTACTTATATCAGAGGAGGGATGCCTAAATGCACCAGCTGCTGGAGATTTGGGGCTGGATGGTGCTACTGCCCAGTTCCATCGACACCTGGTTGCCCTCTGTGTGAACAGAGCAGTACACCAGATGGATCCATGGTCTGATCCGGCGGGGCTCATCTCATGTTCTCATGCACATTTCTCTGGATGCAAGCCCACCAGAATTCAAAACTCTCGAGTAAGTGTGCACAGCTGCCCTTCACTGTTGGAATAGAGATAGCCAAACATCACACCTCCGTCGCCCTGTATGATCATGCTCCTGTCACAGAAGCAGGAATGGCCATTTCACAAGCTGTTTATTCTGCAAACAAGGACAATGCACTATTATGCAACGGAATGAGATTTAACAGGGACAAAGCTATGTTCTCCACCTAGGGGGAAAAAAACCCCAAATGCATCAATACAAGATGGGGAATACTTGGCTCAACAGCACTGAAAAAAGGAACTTGGAGTTGTGGACAACAAACTAAACATGAGCCAGCAATGTGATGCAGCCACAAAAAGGGCAAACACTATTTTGGGGTGCATACGCAGAAGCATCACTTCCAGGAAAAGAGAGGTACTAGTTCCCCTTTACTCAACATTTGGCAGACCTCACCTGGAATACTGTGTTCAGTCCTGGACACCCCAGTTCAAAAAAGATGCAGAAAAACTAGAAGGGGTTCAGAGGAGGGCAACACAAATGATCCAGGATGTGCGAGGCTTGGCATGATTAGCATCAAGAAGAGAAGACTATGAGGGAATATGATAGCACTCAAAGGCTGTCACAAAGAGGAAGGAAAAGACCTCTTCGCACTCATCCCTGAGTGAAGGACACAGAACAATACACTTAAACTGCAGTACACTAAATTCAGGGTAGACACCAGGAAAAACGTCCTAACTATCAGAGCAATATGGCAGTGGAACTGTTGCCTACAGGGGTCATGGGCTTTCCCAAGCTAGAGACACTCAAGGTGAACCTGGACAGTCATCTGAGTGGGATGGTGTGATCTGACACCAGCAGGAGGTTGGATCCAATGGCCTGCTTGGCTCCTTCCAACCCTACTATTCCATGAATCTACGAAACAACTCCCAAATCGCAAAGTTGCTACTACTGCTGTTTCAACATGTCACTCTCCTCTGTGCACAAGGAAACAAATGCAACGTAGACAGAAGGCACAGTGCTGAGAACACATAATGCTGTGCACACTCACAACCAGACTCACAAATGCACTTCAGATCAGCTTCAATCTGTTCTCAAAGATACTGCCTAAAATACATGATTTTAAAGATATGTTCTTCAACCTCAGTGCAGGACTTGTGCTCAAAGTTGCTCTGATGGAGTCAAAAACTCATTTATTTTACTGTCCCATATATAGAGTTTTAAAAATGGCAAAGTTAATTAGTTCTGTGAGTATGAAGACGTGCTTCAAATTTTGCTTTTAAGAAAACCCACTCTGAACTACCACAAGCTACATTTGTGGACTGTGGACTTTGCCAGTGCTAATGTGTTTACAATTATTATAAACGAAACCAATTAATCTGCTGCTCTGGTCATGTCCACAGGACCTACCCCAGAGACAAGTTAGTAGCCAGTAGCTGCACGCTCAGGGGAGTGCGAAAAGTCACCTTTCCCTCCCACTGCACAAACTCACACTGCTGTTGATCAGTGGAAAATAACCTGATTTCATTTCTGAAGAGCACCATGTATTTACCTGATGTGTCTAACATGGAAAGATCTAAAGCTACAGACAAACAGTGCACATATTTAAACAAGGACACACTGAATTCTGGACAGAGGACTGGAATCTCCAGACAGACCACACTCCTGGAGTCTGGTTGTGACCTGCTTGCATTCCTGCTCCAGTGAGTCACCTACAGACATGCCGTGTCATTCTGGCTTCAACGCTATCTAACGAGGAAAGCAGCTTTCCATCTGGCACACCTGGAAGCCCTGCTGCAGTCTCAGGATAAAAGCAAAAACATGTGTCAAGCATAGCGGCAACCCTGCTGTTCAAATACTGATTGTTGGAACATTTTAAACTGCGTACGCTTTCCGTGGAGTAAATATAGTAAATGCCGTTGGTTGGACCCACTCCTAGTCATGGGAATCGCAGACCTGTTGAAATCAATAGTTAGTTATAGTCAGTTATGAACTAAAGGTCTGCTCCTAACATGGGCCAAGTCTGCATCCAACCCATTAAAACTTGCTTTCATTCATAGGATTGGGCTGTAAATGGAATGATTGCACCGTGTGTCTTTCACTGAACATCCCATGCAAAGTGGACTCATGAGAACGTTGCAATACTGAGCTAAGCAATAATCCCCAGGTTTCAGTTGAAGCACCCGAACTATGGAATTCCCTCCCTAGAAACTGCCAAGAGAGCTTGAAACAAAATAAAAAGGTTTTATTCTTTTGTTTTCCTGCACTTTGGGAGGGCAGCAAATAGTCCTTTATCCAAGCTTTCAAGTTTGTCCTTAAATTTATCTCTTCCTGTTGGTTGTTTTATTTTTAACTGACTCGGTTTTGTATTATCACTTTGTTTAATTAATAGTATAAAATGCCCCTTGTTTCTATTCTTCATTTTATACTACACACACACCGGGGGTGGGGGAGGCACTGTAACAAAATGTGGTAGTGTGGCACTTTTGTTCAGGGTTCCAACCACTTATTTATTTTCCCTTGCAAGTTCTCTCTCTTTCTCTGTGTTTGCACGCGCGCATGTGTGTACGCAAGTGTGAGTCCATCCCAGCAGTCAGTTCACTTTCTATGGGCAGTGGCCATATTCCTTCTTCACTGGGCTGTTTTCAGGGAAGAATTCCCCAGCAGAGTGTCCTTTTGTTTTTTCCTTAATCACTCTTTTTATTCTAAAAGTTCCACCAAGTCATCTGACTCTTCTTCCTTGTGCTACTGTGGTGAATATTACATAAATGAAAATATTCAAATAATTTAAATGGATATTTTCTTATAAAATATAGGATGCATGATATTGTGGTTATACCATAGCTGTTCAGGTGGAAGTCATTAAGGTGGCACTTTCGAGGCAGAGGTGGCACTTTCGATGCTATATGTTGAAAACAATTTTGCAAAACATTTCCACGATGTGTGTCCAAAGTGGTTCATAACAAAGACCACTAGCAATGTAAACATGGAAGAGCAATATAATAGAAACCAAAAGGGCTTAGCCAACAAAATCAGAAACAAGACCACGATGTTACTGACCACATGCCACAAGTAACTTTCACTGGAGGCCAGAGTGATAGCAAATAAATGACCAGCAAGGAAGGCATTCCAAAGAGCATCTGCCATCACTGAAAGGACTTTTTTTCCTGTCCATGACTCCTCTTAAAGCAAGTGCAGCAAGAGCGGAATTTCAGGCAATAATTTCAGAAAGGGGTTCATACAGGTGAAAACAATACCGAGTTGATTACATTTCTGTGCTTGCACAATATCCAAAGCTGTCTGGGTGGTTTGCAACAGTTATTCTAGAGACCCCCACCAGTTATGGCCAGAAATGACCATTAGTATTAGTGGGGGTAGTAGTATTACATTGTTATTACAGGCAAGTAAGTCCTCCTGAACACACTTGCCCATAAAACATGGAAAAGCATGGAAATCTATACATTCAGAACTGAATTAGGAGACCAAAAAATATACCCAGTTTTATGAAATACTGGCTTAGAACTGCAAAAGAAAACCCAGAAATTGGTAAAGCCAGAAGCGGGAACGGGGGAGGTATGGAAGAGATAGTGTTATTGCTGCCTCTCCGCTTCTTTGAACCATGAAGGTTTCAGGAACACTACTATAGGATTTAATTTCCTTTAGAGAAAACCCAGAGACCTGAAGTTTATAATATTTGCTTTATTTACAAACATACAAGGGGAGCTAAAGAGGAGGCAAGAAAGAGCTCCAACAGGGCAGTGGATCTGGTCATATAGTAAGGAATAGTCAGCCCTCCTCTTCACCCTCCTGGCCAGAATCGAATGTGAGCAGTCATAAGCAAGAGAACTAAGGTCAAGTTTTGAGAAAGTTGCAGACTAGATGTGTTTGCAGTTGCCCTGGTCCTGGAGAAAGGAGCAGACTGCAATTAAAGCACTTCCAAACAGAGAACTCCTTGTGTTACCAATCAAAACACGTTGGAAAGTTCTTCCATCTTTTCTTGCTTAACATTTTTTTTTTTTAATGAAACACAAAAAGGCAGAAGTAATGATGGGAAAACCTAACAGAGTTATAAGATGAAAATGATGTCTGGAAACACCCTTCAAATTTATGAACATGCTGCAGGAAAATTATAAGGCTTCTTTCAGATGAGGATCTTAAGAAGAAATTGCTGTAATCATTCACAGAAAGTTACTTCTGTAAGGCTCTTGTGCTTTCACACTACTCCTTCTGTCCTTTTCCTTACCAGCAAAGAGAGAATAACTGCTCAATGTCTTTTGACAGTTAGCTCTTGCAGCTTTCTCTGGAAGCACCTTAAATCATAATCCCTCAACATGGTTTACATTATTTTTCCCCACTTCCCATTTGCAAATTACACAGCAGAAAGGCACAGGCTCAAGGCCAAGCAGAAGTTAGCTGTAACAGGTGCCGCCTCCATCGGCGAGCGACAACCTGAGTTTCAGGGAGGACAGCAGAAAGTCCGATTTCGAAAATAAGAGCGTGTGGACCTTTAGGGAGGTGGGGGAGCGGCGCATGAAGCTGGCTGCTCTTCCTGGATAGGTACAACCTCCAACCTCTGCCAACGCACAGCATACAGCTTTGTACACCCATGTACACCTCTAGCCGGAAAGCTCTCCAGGTGGCACGCTGATGCCACTCTCAGGTGAGAACAAAAGCCCTGTTTTCCCTGCCAAGCGCACCCGCACCCATCCGCTGCACCTGTCAAATGGGGGGGCTTCTGCCTTCGCCCCTCAGCATCGCCCCCCACCACGGCTCCCTTCGGGCTTACCCTCTCGGTCTCCAGGCGGGATCCCAGGTGAGGCTGGTGCTCTGCTCAGCTGGCTTTCATGCTGCGCTCCCCACCGCCTCCCCGTCCGCCCCTTTAAACAAACTGCTTCGCGAAGAGCCAGCCAGGGGAGCCGACAAACAAGTTTCTCAAGTCCCCCCCGCCCCCGGGTTGCTCGCGCGCGCGCGCTCCCTCCTGAGCTTGCCCCGCACACGCGAGGCGCAGTCCTCTCGGCAGCAGAGGGAGCGAGTGGCCGCGGAGACGCGAGCGAGGAATGGTCCACTTCGGACACTGCGCGAGGACGAGGAAGCAGAAAGGGGAGGTCAGGCGAGCGCGGCGCGCACACCTCTCGCCCTCCCTCTCGGGCGCTCTGACAAGCCGGAGCCCCACCCCTCGCCGGGACGCGCCCACGTGACCCGCAGGTAAGGCTCGAGCCGCGGGGTGCGCCGCCCCCTGCCTAGCATCACGCCGAGGGAGCGGCCCGCGAACTAGAGCCGCCGCCGCCGCCTCCTCGCTCCTGGCTGCGCGCAAACCGAGGCCGGCCCTGCGCACGCGCGCTCAGGGCGCGGCAAGGCTGGGTAGGAGCCCCCACCTGGCGGCCGGAGCGCGAGGGGAGCCCCGCTCGATCGGCGCGCGGCCCGCCCGTGCCCGCTGCAGGCCAGCCGGGCGCCCGGGGGAAACCCGCCCGCCGAGCATGCATGCAAGCGCGCCCTCCCGCCCGTGCTCCCCAGCAGGTGGGATGCTCGGGAAGTCCGCCTCTGAGGCTGGGGGCCGTCAGGTGCGTGGCCGGGGCTCGTCCTGTCGGCTGGGAATTGGTGGAGCCCCCTTTTAAAGCCGGCCGAATCCGTGGTTCTCGCTGCATGCCATGGAAGTGAGTTCCACAGTTTAAGCAGCCCTTCCTTTCCTCTGCTCTTCCTCCGCTACCCATCAGCGGCGTGAGAGGACCCCAGCAGGTGCCAGTGCTATGCGAGAATGGCTCCCTCTCTGTCGTCGCATGGTGCGAAATTTTGTACGCCTGTGTCACCAGCCTCCCGCAGCAGCAGGGGTTGGACGGGATGGCACAGTGGGTTGACTGAACGCTTTCAACCTTTGCACCGCATCTGCAAATGGATATTCAGTTCACCTTTCTTGAAGCTTATGCAAAATAGTTTGAACTGATAGCAGTATTTTCATATAGACAGATATGCTCATAGGTACACTTTTCATATGCATGTACTGTAAGTGATTTCTTTCCATTTCTATAAGGAAACGATGTTTTTCCTTTTCTTAATTAGTCCAGGTTTTTTTGTTGAAAAATCACAATAAAATTAACAATAATTTGTAAAAGAACATATTGAAAAAGTGTTCCTTTGCTTAACTCATCCCTTCTGTTTTAATAAGAAGTGGTATTTTATGGGTGTTTCAAGGCACTGCTGTTGGGGGGTGGGAATGGAGAGCGTAGGTTGAAGAATGCAGGAAGATCCCCCTGAGAAGGATGAATATGTTCGCATCCCAGCTTCTTATTGGATAATTGTGACTAAAGCTGCCTAGAATGGCCCACATAACACCTTTATGGGAAGAATTGCATTGGTTACCAGTTGTGGCCCAGGCCCAATTCAAGGTCCTTGTGTTGACATGTACCTCCCTAAATGGCTTAGGCCCCAGTTATCTTGGGGAGCGCCTGTGCCCATACATGCCTGCCTGGCCTTTGAGTTCTACTCAGGGAGCCCTCCTGTGTGAGCCATCCCTTAAGGAGGGGAGAAGGCTGGCCGCCGGAGGAGGGCCTTTTCTGCAGCGGCTCCCCAAATGCTCTCCCCAAGGAGACTGGCCTGGCGTCTTCTTTATACTCTTTTTGGCGCCAGGCAAAGACCTCCCTTACCAAAAAGCATGTTAATAGTAGATGCCACTATGCCTTTGTTTTGTATTTGTATCTGTATTTTATTAGTATTGTATTTTTAATTGTTATTAGTTTTATTGTGGTTTTTTATCTTATGATTGTGAGCTGGGCAGAGATGCTATGGCACAACAGGTGGCACAGAAGTGTTTTAAATAAATAAATAAATAAATAAATAAAGGACGGGGATCCAGCAGGGGAAACTTTTCTTGGTGATTGAGATTAGGGGATGGGGAAAGCTCCCTCTACCTGGGCCTTAAGATCATCTTCTGAAGGGAGTGGCAACCAGAAGAAGAACCTTCTTGGTAGTGGAACCCCATTTATGGAATTGGCTCCCTAAAGAGGCATGCCTGGAGCCCACTCTTTTTGCTTTTAGGTGTCAAGTAAAATCCTTTTTATTTTATGATTATTTTAATAGTTAAAACGGGTTTAATATTGTATTTTATATCATGTTCAGTATTGTATCTCTGTCTAAATATTTGTATTTTATACCACTTTGAAGAAGAGCAAGCTTTCAGTGGCGGTTTTCCTTGCCTTGCACCTGGAAGATGCTGGATCTAAATATCAGATTCTATGCCGTCTAGTTACTCCTGCATGGAAGGGTGTTGGGTGGTGAGGAAAGAGCACTGAGGAATCCTGAAACATTTTACTCTAGATGCCTTGTGCAAGAGCCTACCTCTGTCTTACGAATTCTGAAGTATTGCCTGTGTCCTAGGCCTTAACATAATGACATTGCACTTCCTGTTTACTCACTGGCAAAGAGTTCACTGGGTGACATTTGCTTCTATGGGCAAATATGGGACTCTTATCATTGTGCTGCTGGGAAGGGTCTAAGCATCCCTTCCTGCTAAGTATCTTGCTTGATCCTGCTTCCTGCTCTGTGTCCTCAGCTAACCCTACATGCTCTTGGTTCATATCAGGGAACAAAAGCTACCAACTAGAGGCATCTGTGAAATAGGTCTGAGGGTGGGTGGCGGGAGAGTGAATAAGTGTGGAGCTGCCCCCGTGGTGCTGGAGTTGAAATTCATTGCTCTGTCCCTTTCAGTCTGCAAACTGTTTTCAAGCCACCTCTGCCATTCTCTTCCAGGTATATGCTCTTCACCTGAAGCCGCCTCGTAGCTTGCAGCAGTTTCTATTTCTATTACTCAATTGTATCCAAGAAACTGGGCTTCTCCCTCTTCTCAGCCAGCTCTCACGTGTCTCAGTTCATTACTCTTCTTATGAGTTTTGGTGTTGGTACTTCCGTTGTCTGTCCTCCACTGTTTCTTGTGGTTGGCGACTTCATGCACCTGTGGGCTTCCATTTCCAGGCACACCAGCCAAAGTTTGCCTTTGGGGCTTCATCAGGACAAAGGCGACTGCAAGTTCATGTCCTATTCGAGTTGCATCCATCTTAAGTCATGGATTTGGGTTGCTTGTTTGCATCACTGAAGACTTGCATAAATGTCTCTTTTTAAGGAAAGGAAATATATATTTTTTCTAGTGGATGGGAGGAACAAAGTGAAAGCACGGACAGTCTGTGGACAAAATCCCATTCCAGTCTTTTAAATGGCTCCTAGCTTGGTTTGTTAACAAATATGTTGTTATATTTAAAATGGACTAGGAGGCCGGAGATGTGGAGCTCACTGGTGACATTGGGCCAGACTCTCAGCCTACCTCACAGGGCTGTTGTTGTGAGGATAACTGAGGATAATTGAGAGCAGCAGGAGGAGAATTATTAGCAAGGCCTAATGAAAACCTCTGAGCGTCTCAATCCAGACCTCACAGAAGTGGGGTAAGGACAATGCCTGGATGGAAATGACCCTATAACCCCCCCGCCCCATAATGCAGTGTGGAAAAAAAGGTAGGTTTCACATCTGCAAATCTGCATGCTTCCTCTGGTTACCCCCATGCCAGGTTCCTGCTACACATCCTCATTACAGGTATTGACTCTGGAACGAGCCATTATACTTTGCTTTCTGAAAGAGGGTGTGTAACTAAACAGACCATATCCATCTCCTTTCCCTGTCTGTTTGCTAATGCTGTGGAAGGGAAGCTAGGCTCTTCGTTATTTTTGTAAAAAGCTATGGCTAAAATGCGGCAAAACTCAAGGAACCAGGCTTCAGGTTGGATATCAGGAAGTACTTCCTGATGGTTAGGACCCCTAGGATATGGAATGGGCTTCCAAGGAAGCTGGTGGAGGCCCCCTCGGTGAGGGTGTTCAAGGAAAGATTGGACAGCCACATGTTGGGGATTACATGAGCAGAGCTGGCTGGAGCTGGGGGTCAGACTATATGGCCTAGGAGACCCCTTCTGACTCACTCTGTTTCTATGTTTCTAAAACACAAAAAAGAGACAGTTCTCTGGAAATGGGGTCTGTCTTAGCACCCTGCTTCTAGTACCCTCACCTCTGTTTCCTCCCACAGCTTGGGAAGAAACTAAGCGGCCACCTTGCTTTGCTTGTTCTTGGCCCAGAATGGCTTGCCGAAGTTCCATTTGTGGGAGAAAATGGCTGGGAGATGTACAAGCTCCTTCTTGGAAGGAAAACCTCTTAAGAGATCAGGGAAGGAGACGCATCCCTCCTCCTCCAGTGGAGAGAGGGGTTTGGAGACAGAGAAAGTGAGAAGGAGGGTTGTGAACAGATAGCTGAAAGACCCTTGGGATGCCTCGCTCTCGGAATCCCATCTGGGCTGGCCCATCTGTTGTGTGGGAAGAGAGTGTTTGCCGTGGCTTCCACATATGTTCTACCTGCATGTTTATAAATAAACCATATATTACAGAAAAGCCGCCAGTTTCCAGTATGCTCTTTCCTGTAAAGAAACATACTCCCTGTGAGCCAAGTCTGACTTCTCACTCCCAGGGGCTTCGTACCACTTTGGGGAAGTGCAGCGATGATGCAACCTTGCTATTCCTCTGCTCAGAGCTGGCCCCAGGTTTTTGCAGGCCCTTCCACAAGATACTTTCTCGAGTGTGGACCCTCCGCATGCTTCTCTTCGGCCCCAGTACTGCTCATGGAGAATCTAATAATGCTAAACTATGGTACAAATATATTTTTAAAATACTTTTTTTAAAAAAAACTGGAATTCTCAAATAGAGGAGGAGGAGGAGGTTAAAAACTTAACTGGATGGAAGGAGGCATCTCCATTCCAAACTCGGCGGAGGGAAAGTAGTAATGTTTGCTTGTTCAGTGGCAACCTTTGGAGGGCAGGAGTGCATCAGCCCACTTT